CGAGTCTAGTCCAGAGTTATTCTAAATCGCGTATTGTTCCACATAGTTATATAGGCTTGGTGTGTGTATCTGTGTTGCTCTGTTACCTACACCTGCCTGGCCTCGTGTACACCTGGTGATGGGAGGTGGTAGTTGTTCACGTGTTGAGTTATCTTTGTCCACTTTTAACTCTCGTTTTGAAACACTTAGTCACGAATTAATTTATCTTAATGTATGTGTTCGATTTGGTATTTAACATTAATGCGTGGTTGATTCTCATAGTCAGGAATTAAATTGGTCAAGAGAATGTATTTGATTAGGTAGGTAGCATTTATTTGTGGTGTTATCCCGTGCTCTACGACCTGCGTCCAATTTCCATATTCCTTTGATTCTCTTGGTCAAAATATCAGGACACAATATACCTGTACAGTGTGCTGCCAGGAGACATTGTTTACATTACTGTTATCTCTCGTAGTTTTCAATCCCATTTGGTTTCTGTTAAAGTAGCGATTTTGATCTCGACTCTATTGATAAGTGTAACAGAGGTGGGAGTTAGTGATACGAGGAAGCTGGTGGCATAACAAGTGAGCCCGGAAGGTGAAGTAGGACAAGTGGCGGGGATTATTGGCCAAGACGAGACAAACGTGAGGGTGAGACCAGGAATGCGAGATTGCACAGTGCCCTCCCGCCACTGATATAAAACTCGCGAGGGAGTCACAATAGGACAACACATCTACAACCCGACCACGCATTTGCCCCGTGTTACACATTCAAGCGGGATAAACATAGCTTTCCTGAACGGCAGATTGCGTGGTTCTTCCCCTCCCTATCCCTACCCCAACACCCTTACACCCACCCCACCCACCGGTAAAGCCATCAGTGGGAAAACAATGCGTCGAGGGTAATGTATTTACGAGTTGAGGAAGGGTAGGAGGGGGAGTAGATGGGAAGGAGGGAGGGGGAGGATGGGGACGGAAGGAGGGACGGAGAATGGAGACGGAAGGAGGGACGGTGATAGGGAGGATGGGGACGGAGGGAGAGAGAGGTGGGGGTGATGAAGCTTAGAGGAGAAAAAAAAAAGGTGATAAGGAAAGACGCTGCTCTATCCTCTTCCCCATACCTCAGTGGGTTGTTTTCCAGGCTACTCGGGTGATATCTCAGAGTAAATGCAACCACCGATGAAAGTGATGCGGGTCGTAAAGGTGAGACATATGCCGGATAATGATAATGCTCGCTAGTAAACAACCCGCTGCTCAATAACAAAGCCGTTATAGGAGTCCTTTTGAGAGGTTAAGATGTTGGCCTTCCCTAGGATGACGGGAGGTTGGTGGCGTTCTTCGGACCGTCATTATACGTGACATTTGTTCCTGCACCTGGGATGTGTATTTCTCCTCCTCCTCCTCCTCTTCTTACCATCTCATTCCCTCTCCTCCCCCTCCTCTCCCCTCCTATCCTCCCCTCCCCAGCCACCTTCCTCCCCCACCGCCATTATCATATAATTTCCCCGTCTCTCAGGTCACCCCCATTACATTTGACCTTCTTATTGTTATACTTTTATTGTTTACTCTCTCTTCTCTATTCGATTAATTTCAGATTTCTCCGTTTGGTTTCTGTCTCTCTCTTTCTCTTCTGTTTTATTTCCTTCCTTATTCGTCTCTCGTTCCATTATCGTATATTTTTGTCCTCGTCTTCCATCTCCTCCTTTACTCGTGACCTCTTTATGCTTACTGTTTACTGTTCTCTCTCTCTCTCTCTCTCTCTCTCTCTCTCTCTCTCTTTGGTTTTCGGTTCTTTATTTAGTTCTCTCAGATTATCACACTTCACTTCTTGTCTCATCTCTTCTCCTTCTCTTTCTTATCAGACTTTTATTTGCATATACTTTTCTATTTATTTCAGTCCTTCAATATCTTGCAAGTCCGCCCCACCTCCTCATTTCTTCTCAGTTCTTTATTCACCTCTTTCTTATTATCAAGCAGTTTCTATTTCTTACGTTATCCTCATTATCTTCTTATTTTATTAGTATGTGGTGCTAGTCCCTCTTTGCTATAGTTCCACCATCATCGTAGTTTTTCCTGGACATATATTTATTCGTCTGTTTTGTATTATTATTTAATTTCTCTCTACTGCCTCCATAATCGTCTGTTTTTTTTTTTAAATTCCTTCTTCGTTTCCTTGTGTCTCTTACGTTATCCATTCACTATTCTCAACTTTCTTCACTATTCCCCTATTTCTTTTCCATCTTGAGTCAGAAAATCCTCCGTGTTTTTTCCAATTCTATTTTCGTTTCCTTATTGCGAATATTAAACACATAAGGAAAGAGAAAGTAAAAAAAAATCAGCTATACAGTAATCAATACATCGCAAACACTGCTATGTAATTTTTGTGTACTAATTTTACATCGCACAAGAGGGACTTTCCTATCCCGAAATGCGATGCAGATAGTGTTTTTTTCCCCTCCGAGGTATGTTCAGGGAGCCTTCACTAATTACGTAATTCTCTCTGTTGCTATTCACACTTTTATTAATTTTTATCATTATTCTTTTGATTTATTTTTTGTTGCTTCACCTTTTTCACACCCCGGGCAATAATCCTCGAATTATTATTATTATTATTATTATTATTATTATTATTATTATTATTATTATTATTATTATTATTATTATTATTATTATTATTATTATTTATTTATTTTTCTTCGTCTCTGCCATTATCACTTTGTTCTTGTCGGCTTTATTCATATTTACTGTTCCATTTGCTCGTTTCAGTATTTTTATTCTCTCTGTCTTAAGTATTATTTTTAGTTCTTACTCCATTTTACCTCTTTTATCACATTATTTCTTCTCCTCCAGGACCTCTTCGTAATTACAGTTTTATCAGTGTTTGCTCTTATTCCTATTAGTTGTGTCTGGGTTACACACATCATCACTATTTTCTCAGTTCCGCATTCGTCTCTCGTGTGTTTGTTTATAGTATTTCTACTGATAAGACTTTTTTGTTTACATATTTCCTCTATTTTTATCATATTTGCTGTGTAGTTATTTTCTCAGGTTCTTTCTTTCTTTTCCTACTCCTTTTCTTCTTCCTCCTCATTTTCTTCCTCATTTTCTTTTTCTTCCTCTTTTTTATTTTCTTTCTTCTCCACCCTGCTTCTCTTCTTCCTCCATCATCCCGCTACCTCCCCCTCTTCCTCATTTTCGCCTCTTACTCTTTTTCTCCTCTTTCTCTTTTTCTCCTCTTCCTATTTTCCTCCTCTTCCTATTTTCCTCCTCCTCCTCTTTTTCTCTTCCCCCTCCTCCGTCCTGCCTCCACCTACTCTTCCTCCCCCCCCTCCTCTACCACCCTCTTCCCTCCACAGTGTTCTCAGTCCACAAACTCTCTCCCAGTTTTCCTTCTGCCTCACATTATCATAATTCCCTCCTTCTGCTGTTTACACTTTTATTAATATTTACATCTTTTCCTCCCACCTTTGCTACCTCCTTCTTCCTCCTTCATTCACCCACAATCCTCGACGGCCATTTTTTACAGCTCCTAATTTCTTTAATTTTCCACCTCACTTTTTTCCTCGTGTTGTTCTGGTGGTGGTAGTAGTGGTGTTGTTGATGGTGGTGATAAGATTAGTAGTGGTGGTGGTGGTAGTAGTGGTGTTGTTGATGGTGGTGATAAGATTAGTGATGGTGGTGGTTATACTGATGGCGATTGTTATATTGATTGTGATTATTGTGGATTTTGGTTGTGGGTTTTGCAGGTGACCTTTACAGTGATGGTGGTGGTGCCTGCTGTGGTGATGGTTGCTGGGTAGTGATGGTTGTGGTTGCTGGTGGTAGCTGCTGGTGTTGGTGGTTACAGTGATGTTGATGGTTGGTGGTGATGGTTACAATGATGGTGGTAATTGCTGGTAGTAGGGGTTACAGTGAGGGTGGTGGTTGGTGGTGGTTACAGTGATTGTGGTGATTGCTGGTAGTGGTGGTTGTGGTAGATGGTGGTTGTGAGGCTGGTGTTGGTGGTTATAGTGTTTGTGGTGATTGCTGGTAGTGGTGGTTGGTGGTGGTGGATGCTGGTGGTGGTGGTTATAGTGTTTGTGGTGATTGCTAGTAGTGGTGGATGCTGGTTGTGGTGGTGTGTCCACGTCGTCGCCTCTACAGTGTGGTGTGCCTGGCACTGGGCCAGAGTGCCTTCCTCTGGCCGGCACTGAGCCTCACTCACTCTCCGCCTGGCCTGAGCTGGAGTCTCAAAGATTCCCACCCTAAGTTTTTCTCCTCTTAGCTGTAGGACAACGCAGCTAACGGGCGCTCTAAAACTATGGACTCTAGCTGTGGGAGGCATGAAAACAGCAACTAACTGGCTCAAAAAAGTTACGGACTTTAGCTGTGTGGAATGTGAGAACTCGTATATTTGGTTCTCTCAAGCAACGTATTTTAGCTGGTGGGGTGTGTGAGAACGCAACTAACTGACACACTCAGTCTATAGATTTAAAGTTTGCATCAAATTTTCATTGTGGTGGCGTCCTCTCGTCCCCAGGCCCGGGAGTGAAGAGAAAATTAATAGTTGATGGAGCTTTTGAGGATCTGGGCCACCACTATCACCAACACCACCACCTAAACTATCACCACCACCCAACACAGAATCGAACATAATCACCACCGCCACCACCTTCATTATTATCCCCATCAACACCAACAGGACCACCGTTAGCATCGCCGCTTCCACTGCAACTGCCATTACCACCTTCACTGCCACCAACACCACCTCCACACCAACTACAACCATAATGGTTGCCCCTTGTGTAAGGAGGCGTGAATTTGTTTAAGGTGTAGAAGCTGTTGCCAACACAACAACCACACCCTAAGTTAACAAGTTGCATGACCCAGTGTCAAGAAATAGTCCGAGAAGACCGGACAACTCGCCAACTGCACTGGCTAACCATTACCCTACAACACGATCCGCAAATCGATTAACATCCAGGTCCCCAATTACTGCTGGGTAGACAGAGGCAAATGGCGTATAGAAACTTGCCCATAATTTCACCCTGCCGGGGATTTAACCCGGGCTCACTCGCTTGCGAGGCGAACATGCTGACCATTACACCACAGGTCGCTACTACCATTACCACCTTCACCACCACACTAACTACAACCACTGCCACCTGCACCACCACACCAACTACAACCATTACTACCTCCACCACACCAACCACCACACCATCACCACCACCCCAACTACAACCATTACCACCTCTATCACCACCCCACCAACTACAACCATACCATCTCTACCACCACCCCACCACCTCTACCACCACCCCACCAACTACAACCACCACCACACCCCCCCCCTTCCCAACAATTAAGTTAATTTGCCTGGGTGGTGGTACCAGTGTGGCGGAGAGGCCATAACAGCACCAATAACGTAACTATACCCAGGTTGTGAGCGTCTTGGCTTACTTTAACGTTGATTATTGTATTACTTCAAGCAGCATTACCATAACTCATGCCTATTTGCCACGTAATGGGGGGGGCTGTACTGGGTATGTAATGCCTTGTAATTGTTTCATATGGGGTGTTATTAGGCCTGTTATTCTCTGTTATCCCCCAGTCATGTCTTCAGGAATGGATGACAATGTTTACAGTGTATATGACTTTCAGAGATTTTTTTATGTAAAGAAATGTTTTATTTCTCTTGTTAGCTGACGGTTAGGTTAGATTACGTTATGTCAGGTCAGGTCAGGTCTTGTTGTGGCCGTTTTGGAGGTTATGAGAGTAGACATCAGAAGACTTTATTGTGTGTATTGGTTGTTGTGGCTTTTTGGATGGGCCTTCTGGTTTGTGGTCTCGTGTGCGCGCGTGTGCGCGCGCGCGCGCTCTCAGGTTTACAAACGTTAGAATTGTTTCGTCTCTTTATTTGACAGAACACACACACACACACTCCGTACACCACCACTCGAGAAGAAAGCTGCCGGTCTCCAAGTATTTGCTCTCACACACATTAAGAATTCCGCGAGTGAGTAAGACGCAAACGCTCTCCCTCAGGCTGCCTCCATTCCCTGATACCATTTGCTGAGAGCACTTGTTGCTGCCTCTGTAATAGCCCAGTGTTATACCCAGTCTACGCTCTCCACCCATCTACAGCAGGCTACAGGTTCAGTGCTGGCGTAGACGGATGGTGTGGTGGCGTAGATGGAATTAGTGTATGTGTGTGTAATAATAATAATAATAATAATAATAATTAACGGTTTATTGAAAGAGCATAGCAGCCAGAAGGCTGAAAATATACAGTTACATAATTGGGGAATGGGTTTCGATTTACAAATAATATACAAGTAACATAAGTGATACAACTAAGATATATAATAACTAGGTGGGGGAAAGCTCAAACTACAGGGCATTTCAACATAGTGACAGCGCAAGAAGTAGGATTTACTGGGAGTAGAATACACTGGTTTATTACAAGTTGATAATTTTTACAATGGTTGGGACTGGGCTGTTCTTATAGCGATCAGTTCGTGCACGTATGGGCTGGATGCGGTTGTGGTGTCGAACAGCAATTCTCGGACAGGGGATCTCAGGTGGTAGTAGGGGCCGGTGTCGGGGATGGTGTAGAAGCTTCTTACCAAATTTGCAGATGAGGCCGTGGTGATGGTCAGTGAGAGTCGAAAGGGTCAGTGTGTTGAGCGCGTCTTGATATGTGGTGTAGGAAGGGGAGAGAATAAATTTTGCATGCTCTATTTTGCACTTTTTTTCTGAGTGTTTACGTTGTGTGGCATTTGGGAGGAAGACCAGGTAGGGGAGGCATAGGTAAAAGGCTTGGGAAATATGAATGTTGAGTATTAAACACTGAGGAGCTCCCGGGTGCAGGGCTCCCGAGGGACTTGAGTCGGCGGAGGAGGTGGAGACGGAAACTGGAGGATTTGACAACTTCACTGACGTGTGGTTTCCAATTTAGTTTGTTGTCTATGGTGACGCCGAGGAGCTTAGTGGAATCTACAACCTGGAGTGTGTTGGGACCTAAAGTAATGGAAGGAGGTGGGACAAGGTCGGAGGAGAGGTTGATGTGCATAACCATGGTCTTGGTGTGGTTGATGGTGACGTGGTTGTTGGTGGCACAGTTTTGGAGACTGTTCAATAAATCCTGAAGGGCGGTATAGTCAGGAGCAGAATTGTTGACGCTGATCCCAATGGTGGAGTCGTCGACATATTTCCAGCGAGCAAGGGTTTCTCTTAGGGCATCATTGATAAGCATAAGGAAGCAGAGTGGTCCCATCTTGGTGCCCTGGGGGACGCCACAGGTGAGTGACTGAAAGGTGGAGACAGCCCCTCGGAAGAGTACAGCTTGGCGTCGGTCACTGAGGAAGTCTGTAAGCCATGGTATAAGACTTCTCCGAAGCCCGAGGTCAATAGTTTTGTTGATGATTAAATTGTGGTCGACTAGGTCGAATGCTTTAGTGAAATCAATGAAGGCGACAGCTACAGACGTTTTTCGTTTCTCGAGATGGCGGTATATGTAATCGAGAAAGCTGGCGGAGGAAGTTTTCATATTGCCAAATTGCTGAGGGTCTACGATTCGCAATGTCAGCATAAGCCCAGTCCGAACACAGAGCTTTCACAGATTAGGCTGGGTATTGGGGTGATTACCCAATAGGTCTTAGCTGATTTAAGGATTGTGGGCTTGTTGACTTGGGCACTGGTGATACATAAAGGGTCTTCAGTCAGCTGGGCATCTGGCTTGACTGGGGAAGAAGCATTGATGATGGAGCATAAGTTTAGCAAGCTCCGGGTAGAACTCATGAAGGTTTCATTGGTAAGTCAATGGGGGTGGTAGAGCGTTTTTGCTGGATTTGTCCAGACGTTTTGCTACTTCAATTTCTTCTACTAAGTCAGTGGGAAGGGGGGCTGGTAGGTCAACAGGGAGACTGGTTGTGTCAAGCCGGGGGAGCGTCTGGCATATAGTAGCGAAATGGTTATTTGATTGCTCAGCTGCGTCACCATTAGTGAGATGGCTAAGGAAGGGGAGGGGGTGTGTCTTATTGTTTAGTCCACAGAGTTCTTTAAGCTTACCATACCACAGACTGATGTTGGTCTGCTTCAGGTGTTGCAATTTGGTTGGGTAGTGGGACTTCTTTGTAGCGCGTATTTTGCGGATGACTCGGTTGCGAAGGGACCTGTAGCGGATGTGGTCATTGAGATAAAAGGCTCTGTCTCTCTGTTGCATAAGTCTTTTGATCCGAGGTGTGATCCAGGACAAGTCAGCTGGGTGAGATCTGACGGACTTCTCGGGGAAGAAGTGGTGGTGAGCTTCCGTGGTGGTGTTGGTATAATTTTTCCATTTGGTTTCCGCGTCATCCAGGTTAAGTACTTCAGTCCAAGGATGGTGAACTATCCACTGCCCGAAGAGACGCACTGCAGAGTCAGTAATCGGCCTGTAGGTCTTGATGTAGGGTCATTACTAGAAGTATCTGCGTACCCATAATGCTTCCACACCTGCTGGGACTTGAACATCCAGGCGTGACGGGCGTAGGTCATCTTGACAGAAGAGGGCAACGCCCCCTCCGCGTCTATGTGAACGAAGGTGATGAAAGAGTTGATATCCCTCAATATGACACGTTTCAGGCACAATTTGCCAAGCCTCACATATGGCAACGACGCTCGCGGCGGCTGACCTGACTGTAGTTGCCAGCTCGTCAAACTTGTTAGCTAGGGAAGTGACGTTGGATAGCAGTAGAGACGGGAGATCATACCATATCCGTGGAACTTCAGCGTAGTGGTACAGTCTGTCAAGGGTGGGTTTCTCAGGTTTCCTAATGGAGGTTACGGTCCTCATGGGCTTATGTGTATGACGGCCCTGTCTACGGCTGCGCGCGTGGAATATGTTCAGTGTGTGTTCGTGGAGGAAGGTGAGTGTGTTCGGGAAATTAACACACTCGCGAGTATTGACTGTGTGTTCTCATAAATGGAAGTACTCATTAAAACCCTGTCTATTGGCTACAAGGTGTACTCGTTAAGTTACACATTGCCTTTTAAGCCTCCCGTTGCTACCTAAGTGTCACTCCTTCTTCCCCCACGCACCTGTTGAACTGATTAATTAATGGGATAAATAATGGATACCTTACCTGTTGTTTATGAGAGTATGGGGGAGGGAGGGAGGGAGGGGGGCACTAATATAATACACGGTAGGGTTTAGGCCCCCCAGCCTCACGTGTCAGAGGAGCTCACGATCTAATCTACTCTCTCCCCTCTATACTATATTCGTTGCCGTAGTCGTAGGCCTAATCGTTGTTGTAATTCTCTCTCTCTCTCTCTCTCTCTCTCTCTCTCACTAGGTGGTTAGGTTGACTCCAAACTTATGCAGTAGAGGCTCAAGTCTTGATCCCTGTGCTGTGTGTTGTAATATTATACCAAGCAGTGCTGGGGATCCGACTTAAGCTTTGACCTTTTGTTGGCTCGGGTGCTGGTGTACGTGTGAGGGAGTCTGCCTGTATGCTAATGGTAAAACTGCTTCAGGAAAACTTCTCCTTTTATTGAAAAAATGAGAGAGAGAGACTGACAGACTTTTTTCGTGTGTGTGTGTGTGTGTGTGTGTGTGTGTGTGTGTGTGTGTGTGTGTGTGTGTGTGTGTGTGTGTGTGTGTGTGTGTGTGTGTGTGTGTGTGTGTAATAATAATAATAATAATAATAATTAACGGTTTATTGAAAAAAGTTCTGCAGCCCGAAGGCTGAAAATATACATTGGGCATAAATGACTTATTACATACATTGGTGGTTTAACAAAAGCCTTCATTAGAGAAAGGTAAAGGAACATACAGTGAACATACAGATTAATGTAGGTGTTGAACAGCAAAAACGTAGTGTAGTAACTCCCTCCCAGATGGTGTTAGGAGGGACCTCACGTGGTGTAGTAGTTCCCTCACAGATGGTGTTATGAGGGGCCTCACGTGGTGTAGTAATTCCTTCACAGATGGTGTTATGAGGGGCCTCGTGGTGTAAGTAATTCCTACAGATGGTGTTATGAGGGCCTCACATTAATTCTTAGTAATTCCCTCTGGAGATGGTGTTATGAGGGCCTCGTGGTGTAATAATTCCCTCACAGATGAATTATTTATAG